ATTCGATTAGCATACGATCGTTAGAGAATTTTTAAAATTAGCATGATATCGAAATTCAAATTTATTGTGATTTTGCCCCTATTTCGTGGAGATTAAAATTAAATTTTTAGTAAATTTTGATCAAAGTTAAATAGTTACGGATTCCATGAAATATGTTATTAAAATTAATTGTTAACTTTAATTTAGATTAAAATTTAGATTTCAATCGATATCAAGCATGATTTTATAATATATAAAAAAAAAACTCTCAAAAGTTGGGGGCACTTGCCCTCCCTGGACCCCTCCTAGGTCCACCCATGTGTTATAGGGCACTTGAGGTAGTGTAGAAAGTTGGGTTGGGACGGGAATAGGGATGGGAACCGAGAAGACATGTGAAACTCACATCACTTTTTAATGTCAATATGGATAGAAATAATCCACGCATACTAAAATGCGATAAATTTAATTTTAATGAAGGTCTGAAGTCGGCCGAATCTGACACGGCACCCAGGTTGGCTGGTTCGAACCAACCCTCCCATTTTGACAAAAATATTAAGGACTTATGAAAAAAATAAAAAATTTTGTCATTCCATTCTGTCGGTTGATTTTATTTTTTTATTCTTTTATCAAATAACCAATTGATTCCCTCCTACTTCTTGTTGTGTAATATGGCATTATTGAACTTGTAGATACTCGAGAGAGGAGAGAGAGAGAGATTAGGCTATCATGCAAATCGTTTCTGCCCAAAAGGCTGTTGAATGGACAAGATTATGAAATTGGTAATTATATTCACATCACAGATTTTTTGTTTATTGCACCACACTTTTAGTGTCGATAAAATTTCTCAACCGTTGTCTCATTTAAGTTTCAAACTTTTTTCTTTCCTTCCTTATCTCAACTTTCAAATAATTAACAGGACTTGCGACTAATGACGATTTCTAATCAAATATTCTATCGGCATGCTTTAATGAAATATAAATATTTTGTTAAAATTTTGTATTTTAATATTTTTTTTACTTAGATATATGTACGAAAAATACATATTTGTACGTCCTTCTGACAATTTTTTGGACAGAAGTTTTTGTTAGAACGATATTTACTAATTAATGGAATGTTGAGAATAAGAAAGCGACAAAAATAAATGTTGAAGATAAGGGTGTGACAATGAGGAATAATTAAAGACCTAAAAATTATAATTAAAATGTAGTTGGGCAAACAAAAACTATAATGAAAATATAATTATTCTTATCAAATTTCCTCATGTCATAAGGAGGACCCTCCATTCTAGTATGACAAATTTACTCAGTGATTCCTTTGTTAGAAAATTATTATTTGTAAATCCCCATAATCCCATAGAATCCGCACGATCTACCACGAGTCAAACTTTTATTATTTTTGCAGAATATTTTGCTTAAGATTTAGGAGAAGTCAACTTCCAATATTTTGCCTTATAAATAAAGTAATTTGAATTTGCTTTATCAATTAGTTTAGTGTAAGTTTGAGTGTTCATTTAGACTTTGGGGAAATCTTGTACGAAAGTTAAGGAAAGTCTATCCCCTTATAAAAAAATTATGTTCATACTTGAAAGAAAATGAAAAAACAAGTTCGTGTAGTAAAAGTTAAAACTAATACTTGTATTTTTTTTTTTTTTAAATATTGTTCGAAATTTATTTTTTTTAATTATTTATGTAAGAGGAAATTTTCAATTCATTTACGTACAAGTAAATGAAATTATTATACATATATTTATTGTAAAGGTATGGAAGTTAAATTCAAAATAATACATCATATTTCATCAATGTAGAAAAATACGTGTGGAGTTAAATACAACCTTCAATTGATCAAACAAACACAAATTAAGTTCCAAATCAATTAATAATAATGAAATCAAAATGCTATGAATGAATATAAACACTTCTCCTTTCTATATCACAAAGATTGGCACCAATATGGATTGGACAGGGCATCAATGACCTAATAACACACAAAGCAGCTCTACAAAAAAGAATCAAGTATCCCACTCAAAAC